AAATACGGACCTGGATTTTTAACTGTAATTTTTATAGCTTTTGTATAGCTAAATACAACGATATGTTACACTTTACCATTTTACTACGTTTCGTCTATGAAAATATCATCAGCTATGTAGCTTCTGATGATACCGTTTCTTACTTGATTAAAACAAGATAGATAATTAAATAATAATTAAAAAACAAAAAATGCTTAAAATGTGAAATTTTAAATTTTATTTGAAACCTAATACAAGAATTATTTAATTACAAAATGGGTTAAAATTTTTTATCAAACGTGTTTAAGTACAACCAGCAAATAAGACTAATGAAGAACGAATTATGGTTGCACACATTCTACAAATAATAAAGCTAATAACAAAAACAAAATGAAAAACAAAACGGTCAAGCAATCTATAAATTCCTATCACCTGATTTTCTGTAAAATCTTTCGCTTAGGTTTCTCACACCGTATTTTTTCTATCTTTAATGTTTTCATTTTTGCATACATAAGATCTAAACAAAATCATGTTTGTCATGCATGTCAGTTGTAATTTGTCACCAATATTTCTGTTATAATCTGTAACATCTAATATTACAGTACTTTTTTAGCTTTAAATAATTTAAAATTAAATAAATAGTATGGTTCGTTATACTGAAGAAGAGAAGAAAGATATGTATGATGTGTACATAAGATGCTATAGGAATGAAACCCGGTCAACTCAGACTTATTTAGATTTATATCCTGATAGACAACAGCCATCTAAGAGGATGTTTTCTAATATTTCAAAAAATATGGCAGAGCATAGCAGTGTGAAAAAAAGGAGAAAATTAATGTTCTTGTTGAAATACGTATTAACCTTGAAAATTCTACTAAGCGAATAGCTAAAGAATGTGTAGTAGGAACCTCCTCGGTTAAAAGAATTTTAAAGAAACATAAATACCACGGGTATAAATTTCAAAAAGTCCAGAAATTACATGCTGGAGACTCTGATAGAAGACTGATATTTTGTCGTTGGTATAGTAGAAAACTGCGCAATGACCGTTCTTTCAACAAAAAGATATTATATATTATATTAATTATGTACGGATGAATGCTCCTTTACTAATAGTGGAATATTTAATCCCAGGATCAAGCATTTGTATGCTACTTCTAATCCCCATTTAATCAGAGAAGTTAGACCACAGTTCCGTTTTACCCAAAATGTGTGGTGTGGACTAATCAATAATCAGATTGTTGGGCCGATTGTTTTGGATGGTAATTTAAATCAGTTCCGATACCTACATTTATTGGAGGAAGTACTCGATGAGATGCCCTTACAAACAAGACAAAATCTTCAATACTTTATGCAAGACGGTTGTGGTGCACACAATGCTAGGAGGGTTGCAGAGTATCTCGATCAATATTTTAGAGGTAATTGGATTGGTACCAATGGACCAATAAGACGGCCTCCTCGATCTCCGTGTCTTAACCCCATGGATTATTGTGTATGGGGCTTCGTAAAGAACCAAATCTACGACAAAAATATGCCAAATAATCTACAAGAACTTCGTCAACGAACAGTAGATGCATTTGAAAAAATTACACTAGAAATGGTTGATAAAACTACATCCCAAATATCTAGGAGAATTGCACTCTGTATCCAACAGAATGGACTACATTTTGAGCAACTATTGTGACTGTTTTTGTTTTCGAATTTTGTTTTTGTTATTAGCTTTATTATTTGTAGAATGTGTACAACCATAATTCGTTCTTCATTAGTCTTGTTTGCTGGTTGTACTTAATCATGTTTGATAAAAAATTGTAACCCATTTTGTGATTTAATAATTCTTGTATTATGTTTCAAATAATATTTAAAATTTCACATTTTAAGCATGTTTTGTTTTTTAATTATTATTTAATTAGCTATTTTCTTTTAATCAAGTAAGAAACGGTATCATCAGAAGCTACATAGCTGATGATATTTTCATAGACGAAACGTAGTAAAATTGTAAAGTGTAACATATCGTTGTATTTAGCTATACAAAAGCTATAAAAAAAATTACAGTTAAAAATCCAGGTCCGTATTTACAAAAATAAGTTGAAGGTGGCCCTGCAAATACGAAACGTCATAATAAAAATTTTGACATGGCAGATTATAGGGAACTTGATTTATAACAAAAACTTCGTATAATTTTCTTTTGTATCTTTTATAATAACAACGCCCGACTTAAAAAACGAAAATGATGTTTTTCGGATTTTATCGAATATCTCCGGAACCAGTCAGAAAATCTGGAACTTCTATGGACCATTGTATTATCCGTCAAAATACGAAACTTTTTCCCTATTTAACCCATTCCCCATTCAACCGGTTTACGAGATCTCTGTATACGCAAATTAAATCTGGTCCACCCTGTATATAATGGTTTTGATTCGATAAACTTTTGCATATAGGTATTTGTTTTCGTTCGTTTCCGTTTTCTTTAACGTTATTGAAAAAAAAATATTTTTTTTTTAATTTGAAAAAAAAACATGTTCCTTCGGAAATGTTATTCAAGACGTTGCCTATACATTTTGAAAATAGCGAATTAAAATGTATTTTTTTAAAAAGTTGCCCGGCGATCTAAACAACTGGATTTCTCGATTCAAATTTCCAAAATTCTTCATGTAAAAATTCATAACTTTTGATTTGATAAACTTTTGCATAAAGGTATTTGTCTTTCGTTCGTTTACTTTTGCTTTAACGTTATTGAAAAAAAAAGTATTTTTTTAAAATTTGAGAAAAAACTTTTTCGCAAATGTCATTCAAGCCGTTACCTATAGGTACATTAAAATAGTAAATGTTGAAAATAGCGAAAAAATGTGTTCTTTCAAAAATTTTCCCGACAATCTAAACAATTGGATTTCTCGCTTAAAATTTTCAAATTTCATAACTTTTGATTCGATAAACTTTTGCATAAAGGTATTTGTCTTTCGTTTCCTTTTTCTTTAACGTTATTAAAAAAATTATTATTTTTTTAATCCAGAAAAAAAAAATTCCTTAGGAAATTTTATTCAAGATGTTATCTATTCGCTCCGTGCGTGACACCCGCGCCAATTTATTTAGATACTAATGGACGATTTCTGCGCATACTGACAAATACAATTTTTAATAGAATTCGTATTTAAAAAGTATATGTTAGTTTTAATAGAAGTATATGGATTTGAAAAACAAGTAAAACATTATTATTATTATTATAATATATTTTTATCGTTTAAATTAAAAAAAAAAAAAAAAAGTAGGTATAATCAATAAAAATCAATGATAAAATATAGACAGGCAACAGTATTTACGAGAAAATGTATGAGAAGTTGTCTAAGTCTAATAAGTTGTTTTTGTAGAATTAATCTATTCTGTCAAAATAAAAAAATACCATTAAATAATAACGTGAAGTTAAACGAAAGAAAACATATAATGAATGATTAAAACTGGATTTCTATCAGTAAACCAAAAAATTGCATTCCAGTCACATACAATAATCAAACTAATCAAAGGCAGAAATCTTGAAATCTAGTCCTTGCTGAATGAACATTTAAGAATAAAGGGATGTTGAAGAACATCAAAAATGATAATTTATTGTTTATTTAAAACCTTTCAAGTTTCTGGTGTCTACTATTTCCAGTACTACTGTTATTATTACAAAAATAAAGGTAATTTTTCTTCTTATTGAACACCTATCCATTTATTTCTTTGATTTAATTTCCACTTTGTTATTGAAATTTTTTTTGCTAGTATTTTTACAATTTTCAACACATCAACTCCGGTTGCTTATTTATTGTATAGTTTTTACCTACTTTTTTGGAAAAAAAAAGTAAAATGTATACGTGTATTTGATATGCCAAAATTACAAAATATCGCCCTAAAATGCACGAATTATCCGCCTAGCGCTAGTATCGCTTTTGCTTCCCCTACCATGACTTCGCACTGAGCGAATACATTAAAATGGAAAATTTTGAAAATAGCGAAAAAAATGTATTTTTTCAAAAAGTTGCCCGACGATCTAAACAATTGGATTCCTCGCTTAAAATTTTTAAAATTAGAATTAGATTATTGGATTAAGGAGGTCCTTTCGCCACCAATGTTAAATAAAAAATATTAGATTATGACTAAAATTAATTTTTTTCTAATAGTGGATGTCCTTATTTATCTAATAGTGAACTTTTAACTATACCTTACCGTGCAAATTTTTGAGAATTTTTTTTAATGTGTAAGTTTGTACAGTGTCTTATGAGAAAGTAAGACTTCAACAACAATTTTCGAATTATAATTTTACTATTATTTATTGATTAGATGGAGTAGAAAAAAACTAAAAATAAGGTTTTTGAAATATTTAGGTTTTGTTTTTTACAATAAAATATATAGGTTACTGTGGAATTTATTGAGAAATTATTATTAAAAAATCACAAAAAATTTTCAACTAGGTTACTTGAAAATTTTTTGTGATATTTTAATATTAATTTCTTAATAAGTTCCACGGTTTACTATATATATTTTATTGTATAAAACAAAATCTAAATATTTCAAAAACCTTATTTTTAGTTTTTTCTACTCCATCTAATCAATAAATAATAGTATAATTCGAGAATTGTTGTTGAGGACTTTCTCGTGAGGCACTGTACAAATACTCACATTTAAAAAAAAAATTTCAAAAATTTGCTAGGTAAGGTATAGTTAAAAGTTCAGTATTAGATAAATAAGGACTTCAACTATTAGAAAAAAATTAATTTTAGTCATAATCTAGTAACTTTTTTTTTTAACATTTGAGGCGAGAGGTGTGGCGAAAGGACCTCCTTAAAAATTTCAAAAAACTCTTCGTTTTATACAAGACGTTTGAAAAAATGTTCAATTACAATGATGAGGTATATAACGGTTTTTATTTAAAAAATATAACTTTGATACGGTATTATATAGAAAAGTAAATAAATGTGTTTTATTTCATTTTAACTTAAAAAAAAAAATATTGCGTCTGTATATTAATCTACTTTGTATTTTTTTTAGCAATGCAGAAGAGGAAATGCTTGAACTATCAAAAGAAATTAAGAATGAAGCGGAAAATACAAAAAAATTGTGAAATCGAGTCGTTGTCGTTGCCGTTTAGCGGCGATACTGCCGACGACTCATTCGATACGAAGGAGGTAACATCGAATGAGGAGTACGTAAGTTTCTTTGATTCGCAATCAACGAACAATAACGATTATACTAACGAAAATGATGATAATAATAATAATAATAATAATAATACAGATATTGTGAATCATTCTAATGACGACGATAGCGACGAAGACTACAACCCCCATGACGATGGTGATGACAATAACAGTGTAAATGTTGACGACGACCATCAGGATTTCGATGTAGAGACGACCACCACCGGCACACGCACAAACAAGTCCATCCTTAATTACTTTAAACTAATTAAGGAAGGACCGACTGTGGTGTGCACGTGTTGCGGTATTTTGATTTTTCCGCGACACGCAAAATTTCTTCGAAAACATCTTTTGGAACAACGTTTCGTTAAACGAAACCAATCAAAATTATCCGCGAACGATTTGTACGCACGTGCGCACATGGTGCCGGACAGCTCGGCGCTGTGTTCCACGTGCTACAAGTCAATTTTAGGCCTGAAATTACCGGTCGTTTCGATAACGATCAATTACAAATTAGACGATTCTCCATGCGAGGCGATCAGAACGCTCAACGTACTGGAGGAGCGCCTAATTTCTCCCCGAATTCCGTTTATGCAAATACGGAATTTGGGGTGCGATCGGTCGAAATACCTGAAGGGTTACGTTTTAAATGTACCGACCGACGTGGGTAAGATGTGTTCAGTTCTCCCGCGAACGTTCGACGAGGCCGAGGTAGTTCAGATAAATTTGAAGAGGAGCAATCGGCAGACCGGTTCGTACATATCGGAAACTGTCTGTCCCGCTAAAATTAAAGCGGCTCTTCAGTATTTATCTGAGCAGCCTCTGTACAAGTTGAACAATATCGTTGTGGACTGGGCCAAATTACCCGCGACCATCGGTGGTACAGTTGAAACTGATCAACTTGTACCCTTTATTGTGACATCACCATCGTCAATGGCGAACGCGACCGCTGCTGTTGCCGTTCCTGAAATCGTTGACGTCGTACCCCACACTCAAAACACTAATCACGATGGAAACGTTATTGCAAATGATCGTTCAAACAATGACGGTTGCGAAATTGACGACGAAGCTGTGGTTATCGCTAACGACGAAAATGACGACGACACCACCGAGGATGTTCAGACGATGTTACAGAAAAACGATGGTCCAATTTGTTTTGCCCCCGGTCAAAACCAAAAGCCATTATCTTTTATTAGGGATCACCACGTGGAGGAATTAACCTTTCCCAGTATTTACCACGGAAAGGCCAGAAATCACGTCGACCCGACCGTCATCGCGGATGGAATTAGCTCCGCCGCTGATACCGTCAACGATGGCGGCCGTCATCGGCGTAAAATTTTCTATGGCCAGGTAATTCGCCACGAGGTTATGTTTTTTAAAAGATATTGCGCTACCCGGGCGGACAAATTGTTCTTTTCCTTTTTTCTGAAACAAACTTTGGACATTTTCAGTGGAATTTCGTTGCATATTCGTCAAACGACGACCACTGCTTCCTCCGTCAACGCCAACAGCCTTAGTACCGCGAATAATATAACTTCTAATGCCGCCGCTCCTGCTAATTCTCTTTTCCAAATTAATCCTACCAACATTAACGTAAATATTCAACAACAGCAACAACAAAAAAGCGATACTTTAACGGCCGGCGACTTGCTTAATTCAAAGTCGGTAGCGCAATTAATTGGTGCCGATAAAGCATTTTCCTTTACGAAAAATATGACTATGTCTCCCGCTTTCTGGGCTGATGAACGGAAAAACTCTTCGCCATGATCAGGCAATTGGGCATTCCCACGTTTCATATAACGTTAACAGCGGCAGACGCTCGCTGGCCCGAATTAATTTCCGTTCTTGGTAAGGTATTACATCAAAAATCGTATTCCGACATCGAAATTAGCGAAATGTCATCGGCGGCGAGGACGCGCCTCATCCAAAGCGATCCGGTAACCGTCGTTCGCTATTTCGATAATCGCATTCGTCTATTGATGGCTGAAATGCGAAAATTTGGCTTCTTCAAGTCATCCGTCGATTCAATTTCCTTCCCCCATTCCGATAATGAAGCTTCTTTTCAAAATAACACTTCCAATCCCGTTGACGCACCTTTTGCTAATAATTTTACAAATCGTCCAGTAAACGTCGTTTATCCATTAGTAGATTTTTATTATCGTGTCGAATTTCAGCATCGGGGAGCACCGCACATCCACGGTGTTTTGTGGCTCAATGGAGCACCGGTGTTTGACGGCACGAATGGCGTAGACTGCTCGAAGTTCATCGATAATTTCGTGAGCGCTTCGGCGTCGGGCGAAGGTCTCAGATATGCTACTAATGTCGAAACTGGTGGCATATCAGAGACATAAACATTCAAAATCTTGTGGCAAAACTAAGACAACTGCTACCGGTACCGTCGGTAACGATGTTGCTAACCGTAGTGGCGGTAGTTGTCGTTTCAAAATTCCTTTTTTTCCGATGCGTACTACAATGATTTTGAGTAGCATCGAAGAGTCTTGTGTAACCGGACCGGAACGGACCAAGGCTAAGGCCGATCTCTTCAAGATTCGCGCCTACCCAAAATTCCGTCTTCGATAGTGGCTCATATCAACAAGAGCTACGAGATCCATTATCGATGAATTTCGACCGGATGTTAGAGGAATTGGGGCTGACCGAATCCGCCTACGTTCTGGCCATTCGGTCTGGTTTAAAAAGCGGCTGCCCCAAAGTTTTTCTTCTTCGTCGTTTGGCCGATATCGCTACTAATAATTACTTTGCCAAGGTCTTGGACATGCACCAAGCCAACATGGATATGCAATATATAGTCGACGCGTATAGTTGCGTCAGCTATATCGTCAACTATATTGACAAATCCAGCATGGGTATGTCCAAGCTGATGTCCGAGGCGGAGACGCACATCAAAGCCGGCGACATCGAAACCAAGGCAAAGTTGCGCAAATTAGGGAATTTGTTTTTGAAATCGTCCGAAGTTTCGGTGCAGGAGGTCGCCTACCACGTATCCGGTCTTCGGATTACCAATTCATCGCGTAGCGACGTATTCGTCAACACGTTTCCCTCTGACAAATGTGTGCGCGTTGCCAAAGGGAAGGCGGCGTTAAGGGAAATGGACGCTGCGTGTACGGATGTTTTCGAAAGAAACATCCTGGATAGGTACGTCGAACGCCCGGATTCGTTAGAGACCTTATGCTTGGCACGTTTCGCCACCGAATTCACGTTTTCTTCGAAAAATGTCAGGGGAGCGTTACCTTTGCGTGACGATAGCGGGTACGTAAAGAGGATGGCTGCAAACGGCCGTCGCAACATTTTTCGCTTCAGAAATTACGGAAAGCTTTGCGATCCGATCAATTTCTGTCACGAAAATTTAATGCTTTTCGTACCCTACAGACGAACAACGAGATTTGATACGTCGAAAACGGCGAAATCAAGTCGCGTTATTCGTCTTCTCGCCGACATTCTTCGCGAAAAACGCGACTTCGTCAAAATTCTTCAAGAGATGGACGAGTTGGCCGATCAAATTGTCGACGATGATTCGCACCGACAATTCCATCGACACGACGACGACGCCGCCTACACCATTACTAGTGACGTTATTATCGACGACACAACGCCGACGACAATGACGACATCCATACATGAAACACAATCACCACCTACACCAATACCACGACGAAAACGAACGAGGAAACCGCAACAGAAGCGGAAGCAACAAACTACTGTTAAAGCCGCTCCGAGTACTTCGACTAAAAACGTTAATCCCATATCGTCGCAACTTTCTGTCGTATTAGATCCGTCCGTTATTTCTCAATATTCACAATCTTCAAATACCAACAAGGTAATGGTTCTCGAGAAAGGAAACACTCCGTCCGTTCTCTCCATTTCCACCCGACAACGAATTGTTACGCCGAGTAGATGCGATAGCAATTCATTTTCTAAAAATTTGTTTAGTTCATTAGTTCCAGTTGTCGCCGCTAATTATAATAACAACATCGCCGTTTATTTAATAGCGGCGTGGGTGTTGAAGGCGGTGAATGTGAGAGCAGCAAAACCAATCGTCCAAAATTGGTTGACTATGTAATCGCTGCCTCCGCCGTCGCAACACCGGTCTTCTTAATGCGGATGGAGTTTCATGTTACGCCTATTCAGCTGTCAATTGTTTATTAAACTTGCCACTTTTCGTTAGATACATCCAGGCAAGAAAATCCGAATTTGTCAGGTCTTTTATCGATATTTGTTACCGACAATACGGTGACAATTCGTCATGCCGTAGGCGGCACATTCGTCACCCGACGACAACAAGATTGTCAGGAATTTTTAGAGTCTTCGGTGCCTCTTTGTCAGTCCCAGTTTGTCGAATCGATAGAGGTACGTTCTCGATTGGATGTTATATGCGTACGATATAAGCATCTGCAAATGTCGAACGACGCAAGTAACGTCGCGTTGGGAAACGTAACTCTAATGGTACGACCGGCTGTGGCCAACAAAAGTCCATACCATTTTCAAGATCTATTCCGATATCGTACTTCAGAGCGACGAAATTGCGAAAATTGCGCCCAATCATCTTCTTTCTCTAACAGGGTGACAGTTTTCGAAAATCGTATTCGCCTTACGTCCATCCAGTCGTATTTAGTTTTATGGTTTGTCAATTACGACGACACCGGGCGAATTCAAAGGTACGATTGTTTCGGTGACGATTTCAATCCGGACGATATCGTCATCGATAACAAACGATTTCGTTTGAATTCTGCCGTTTACCATATCGGTGAGACGTGTTCGAGCGGCCATTATTACGCCGTTTTACGAACCCACCACAATAAAAATTCATCGTCGTCCTTTTCGACGACAGCATGGGTGTCGTCATCTTCATCTACTTCGACGTCAAACTCCAGATGGACCGTCTATTATGACAAGAAGGTCTACGATTTGGACGTTTTCGGCAAATCATTAAGACATATCGTCTTAATGTTTTTGGAGGAAATATAGATTAACGTTTTTAGTACGACTGTAATAATGGAATTATCGCCGCATCATGCACGCTAAATCGATATCTATCCACTTTCTGATCGATGACTACGATGCATATTTAACTATCCATTTATCTGTATACTATGTTTTATGTATTTTTCGTATAACAATAACAAAATTTCATGTTTTCAATAGCGACGAAAAAAAAAATACTTTTTTTTTCTTATAATTGAATTTTTATTAAATTATTTTCTTTTTAATGCTATTACTGTCGCGGCGGAGGCAATCGTAGCATTTTATCCTGTTTTGATTTTAAAATCGGCATTAATATTTCCATACAAAAAAAATACGTTACGTATATTCATTTCAATATAAAAATATATAATTACGTAATTAACTACACATAAATTAAATATATACTTTGTGTAGTTTCACATCTTTTGTAAACTATTTTTATATTTGTGGAATGTAATAAAAATCTACCGAAAAATCGATCGGTTAAAATAAAAATAAAATTTTTTAAGAACACGAATAAAACACGTATCTGTATCTATAACTTGTGGAGGGAATGTTATTCTCACGGCACTTATGCCTCTTTAGGTCCATTTGTGCATCCTACTAAGATGAGGCCAGCCTACAAATTTAATGTAAACTAGAAGAAAATGCGAATTTTTAGTACTAAAATTCCATTTTGAAAGAAATGATTATTACCGAATCCAAAATTATATATATCAAGTAATTTGTTAATTACACCATTTGTTATTACATTTCACAAATATTTTCTACGGTAATTCCATTATAACAGTAAGGATGATGAGTTTTTCACATGCATATATATTTACATTTACGGTATACCACTTCGCAAACGTAGTAACATTGTTACATGTTTTGTAATTGTCGAAAAAGTCATATCATGTAAGTATACGCATGTAAGTATACGCATGTAAGTATACGCAATGAATCAAATGATTGACTGGATTTTGTTTTTCTTTTACATAATAAAAATTATAAATTATCTTATTAATTTATCTTTTTTATTTTTAATAATTTGTTAAATTATTATATTTACTGATATGTATTATCGTCTTACGTAAAAAATATCCAATATCACCATCTTTCTCTCTCATCCTTAAGTACAAGCGACCGGCCTTAATAGTAAAATATCCTCTCATTTCTACTTACAAATAATATATTTTTTTAAATAAATACGCATCAGGGTACGTATGGTCATACACGTAGCGTATATACTTACTATTCGCCATAATTATCATTTGACAAACGTTATTGTCGATTTCACCATCGAATATATTACAATATTTTTTCATTTTTAACAACAATTGTCTCATACAAGTGTAATACTAGTTTGTAATAATAATAATTATACTTCTATCGAGAGTAGCAATGGTATAAATATAGTATTAAAATGCTGCGTTTAAATATCCACATCCCATGCATTTTTTTCATCTCGAGCGTTTGTTTATCCACATTGGACACATCTACTACATTTTTATCTGCGTTTGTTTATCTGAAATGTAGTTGCCTAGATTACATTTTTTCGATTTGATATGAGATGTTTATTCTATGTCAAAAAGTAAGTATTCTGTGAAGCCAAGTTTATAGATTTATCATTTGTTTATGATAGGGTGAATATAAAAGTGATTTTGTTTAATTTCTGTTTAGATTTCAAATTTAGGTTGATTTGTAGTCTCAAAAAATATAAACTTTAACTTGTTATTGTCATTTGTGTATTACTTCTACATTTAGATCTACTCCTTTATCACGTGATCAACATCTCCGATGCATCCGATATTTAATCGCAGCAATAATAAAATATTATTTCTTCGTAAAAATGAGACGATATTCGTCATCCTCGTTATCGCCGTTCCAGTCTAAGGATATGGTCCGTTATTAACACCGCTACTAACCAGGATTTTTTGACAGCGGTTCCTGAAAAAACTAATTTCTTGGTTACTTTTGGACCACGACCGAGGTTTACGTCACTTTTATGACAGATTGATATTCGACTTAATAGTAACCGTAAAAATATAGCGGTTAGTGAATTTGACATTTTCAGATCCCTAATTTTACCGATTTTCAGGACCGAGTAACCGATATTATGGTTAATAACGGACCATACCCTTAATCAATGACCGTGTTCATCGACGTCAAACATATTTTAATGCGTTTTACCGCATTTTGAATCATAGTTTTCGTTTTTTTTTTTTTCGGTTTATTGGTTAATATGCCACTCTCAGTTTGTGTTTTGATTTTTATAATAATAAAGTCTTTATTATTATTAAATAGCCAAGTTCATCCTTTGTAAATATTTGATCATTTATAGAGCATGTTCTACCACTTAACCCTTTATTCATGTATGTTCTGTATAGGCTTTGTTTGAATCATGATTGATAATCATAAAAGCGCAAATAAAGTTGCTTTTATGCTTCGAAATCATAAATTTAATCTTGAATCCCTTCTGTCAATTTATTTATTTATATTTTTTGTCTCGATTCCAATTTAAAAGAAATGCTTATTTGTTATGAAAACAGAGTATTATATGAACGTGATAAGCCACATTTTTTAAATTAAAGGAATTTTTACTTCACTATAATAAAAATCTGATGTGTTCAACACATGACTTTCCTATTTAGTTCTCGAATACGAACCATTTTAGGAAAGTTTTGTATAGGAAAAAAATTAGAGAATATTATAAGGAACTTTTATTTGAAGAATTTTCTTCTCTGAACATAAATAACAGATATATTCCATAAAATATAAAAATGACCCCCTTTAAAATTCGCCCTTCCCAGATGTTTCGATTCAAAAATGTGATCAGTTCACCGCAGGCCAGAATAAAGGTTAATTTTTTTTATTTTTTGGAGTGAGGGTAGCCATATGTGAGTAGTAGGGATTAAGTGTAAGGGGTTAAAGAAAAGGTCCTTTATTTCTCACAAGTCAAATTGTGACTTGTGAGAAATAAAGGACCTTTTCTTTAACCCCTTACACTTAATAAAGGTTAAGTTTAAAATTTGATGTTTTTCTCTTTATCCGTTTTTGAGTTTTATTCAAAATTCGAAATTTACACATTTTTTTAAATGTCTCGAATACGATCCCTTTTACAAAAATTATGTATAGAACAAGAATTATAGAAAATAATGGAACATGTAGAACTTTTATTTGAACAATTTTCTTAAAAATTTAAATTTTTTACATTTTATGAAATTTATCAAATATGGACCATTTTAGGAGAATTTTTAATGACAAAAAGTATAGGGAATAATCTAAGAAGTAACTTCTATTTGAATAATTTTCTTCTCTAAACGTAAATAACGGATATATTCCATAAAATATAAAAACGACCCCTATAAAGTACTCCCCTATATGTTCTATATGTAAAATCTAATCAGTTTACCCCAGGCCGCAGTTAAGCTTAAGTTTAAAATTTAATGTTTTTCTCTTTATCCATTTTCGAGTTTTCTTCAAAATTGGAGATTACCTGTTTTTCTCAAATATCTCGAATACGGTCTATTTTAGAAAAATTATTTAGGTGGGTCAAGAATTATAGAGAATTACATCGTAAACAACTTTTATTTGAACAATTTTCATAAAAATTTGAATTTTTTATATTTTGTCAAATTCTCAAATACGGATCATTTAAGGGCAATTGTGTATAGAACAAAAATTATAAACAATAAAAAGAAACTTTTATTTAAAGAATTTTCTTCTCCAAACGTAAATAACAGATATTTCCCCTCTGTAAAGTACCTCCCCAGATGCCCAAAATATAATAATGATTCCTATACTTTCCTTATCTGTATACAGATAGGAAAGTAAAAATTAAATTACAAAAACCAAATGGAAATTTTCGAATACCATCATTATCCAAAAAATTTTAACAAAATTGTAGTAATTTTAGAAGATTATTTTAATTTGTGAAGACGTGTTTCCTTAATAAATTAATGTTGTGACTTATCATATTATTCCACACTTCAATTGTTAACTGTTTGCCTATAATTAAACGAATCAAATAAAATACAAAATTTGAGATTAAGAAAACAAAGCGTAAACAAAATAATCGTTTAGCGCATTCGGCGTTACTCAACCGATTGTTCT